TCTAAATGCTCCACTCTGTTCACCAGCTAGTCTCTAAATGCTCCACTATGTCCACCAGCTAGTCTCTAAATGCTCCACTCTGTTCACCAGCTAGTCTCTAACTGAGTCTGTCGGCTGTTTGCTGCTGAGCCGGCAAAGTAAAGTGAGCTTTTTGCAGCTTCTTCTTTAGAACCGACGCCATGAGAGCGGTGAGAGGGAAATAAAACAGTCAATTTGTGGTCCGACGTGTAAACAACGAGCTCTGTAAAGTCAAGCAGATTTAGGGGATCCTTCTCTGGATGTTCATCACTACGAGCGACACATTTCACATTGTTTTTCATTGTCAAGTCCTGTACTGTGTGTGTTGCTGTGTAGTTTCTGTACCTCATCCCTGCAGCGGGGCAGCGGGAGCTCCCGAGCAGTGGAAGTGGACGTTTTGCCACCGGCTCTCTCTGCGGTGCCACACTCGGGTCTCCTCTGATTGGCTGGAGCGGGGTTGGCCCTGCCCATCGACGAACTGCGTCAGGCGGATGTAGGCGATGCAGGCGGCCTCGTCACCGATCATGTGCACGTGGGGGTTGAGGATGGTGGTGTGGATGGGTTTGCTGTTCTTGGAGAGCACTGATGAAAAAGAGAGAGAGAGAGAGAGAGAGAGAGAGAGAGAGAGAGAGAGAGAGATCAGACTTCACCAACAACTCAGTCAGGACATTGGAGTCACAAAAAACATTTGAACTGTCGTCTTACGATTGTCAAAGTAGAATCTGTGGAAGTCCATTCCCTCCACCAGATTACCGAGCCCCTCAGGCTCAAACGAGGTGAGACCAGGGTCGCAGATCTTCCTGTGAAAACATGCAGGATAAGAGTCAGAATATCACATTTAAATATCATGTTTTATAAGCGCTGAATGTGTTTTTATACCTCTTATACAATTCTGACTTAGTAACTTATTTATTAAAATAATTTCTCAAAATATTGATTTAGCAGTTCAAACTTGTGACTCACTATGTTATCATTTAGATTTAGCAACACTTTTACAACTTACTGTCTCGTAACAACTCGAAATATCAACTTAATAAGTCATAATCTTCTGTACAGTACTGACTTTAAGGACAATGAATATGTGCAATAATCCAGCTGATGCTTTGGTTTACTGCCATTACTGCTGCATTTAAGCTAATATTCTTATTTATACTACTACTATTGTATAGCATTATTATTATTCACAGAGTTGTTTAATATTGTAGTATAATGCACATATTTTTACATTCTATTTTCTATTTCTTCTAATAATGTCCTCATGTGTATATATATATATATACATGTCAATTAAAGAAACGAGAGCAGCTGTATTGGAACCAAATTTAAATTTGAATACCGTATTTCTGATTCTGATAATCTTGACTCAGTCTTATAATTTTGACGTAGTGAATCAATAGTTTGACTTATTATCTCATAATTTAGATTCAGGATGTTGTGATCCTGATTTACTAAGTCAAACCTTCAACTATCTTATAATTATATGAGTTAGAATCTAAACATTGTGACTCAGTATCTCAAACCTTTGACTGATTATCACATCACTATGAATATTCTACTGTTAATCACGCATATCTTTCCATCTATTGTCGTCTTCCTGGAGGAAACAGGCCCCTCCCTCCTCAATCTGCCAAAGCATTATTCTTAATTGTGTGGTAGAGAGAGGACACAAAATGACGACTGTAATTACTCTTTAATCTTTTAATGCAAAGATAAAACACATCAGATGAATGGTTCTCTGAGGCGGAGAGGGAGATGGCTTTAGAGCTCACTTTGCAGGATTGAAATCAGACTTTTTCCTACAAGCTGATGGGAGGAACAAGAAGAGGAAGAAGAAGAGGTGGACTCACGCGTACGCCTCAAAGTCTCCATTGTTGACAGCTTCGATCAGCTGCTCTGTGATCTTTATGATCTCCTGTTTGCGAGCTGCAGAGAAGAAGAACAATGTGATTGTGTGACGGTTCAACCTGTGACGCTCTCCAGCACTAAACTATCCACGAACATCAACAAGCACACGGAGGACGAACTCACCTGAGAGCTTATTGTTACTCATTTTAAGTTGCACACATAACTTCCATGCAGAAAGCAGTTTTTTCCCTCTCCATGACCCTCGCCTACATATCCACCTTTTAGTTTCTTCAGAAATATGAAAACGTGTCTTCCTGCTCCGTCTAGACGCCCCGTCGCTCTCCGCCTCCATCCATCATCCATCACATCTCTGGTTCGCATGTGAGGCCGCTTGAGCTCATCCTGCTATTCTTGTCCCAGCGCTTTAGATGAGATTTACTGTGTAGAGCCTCCTTCTCCCCTCGCTTCCTCCCAACACTGAGAGGAAGGCTTAGCTCGCTCCGATTGACTCCCTCTCCCTCTCTCCCTCTCTCCCTCTCTCTTTTAGTCGCTGGTTTTGTTTCGTGTGCCTCTATCAAACAAATCTTCTCCCTCAATGCAACAAAATAAGCCAAACAATGGCTCCATGTTAAGTAAAAGTAGCAACATGAAAGTATAAAAGTCCTCCATTCAATATTTTACTTAAAGGGCCAGTTCACCCAACTACAATAATTAAATAGGACATATTCTCATATTCAGGTACATATTTATGTTTTAGGTTCCTACTAGAACATTTTTATATGCTTTAATGTTCAAAGAACATTATTTTTGTTATCTTGTCTGTCTGAAACGCCCCGTTTTAGCGCCTGTCTCTTTAAAAAGTGACTAATCCCCAGAAACCCAGAAACCACTTTTGTCATTTTCAGGTTCATACTTGTATTTCTGGTTTCTACTAGAACATGTTTACATAGTGACTAATCCCCAGGAACAGCTGAAACAACATATATGTGTATTTAATAGTGGTGTTGATGTATTCAGGTCATAATCTTGACATTTTAGTGCAAAGTATTTATGTTCTACACATTATAAATATGCATATCTGGACTTTTCTAAGAAGTCTGAAATGTTGGATGTTGTTTTTAAGGTTTCAAGGTTCAGCTGTATTGTCATTATACTAAACCACTAAAGAAACCAGTTAAATGTACTATATTTATTTTTCTTCTACATCTCAGAGGGAAATATTGTACTCTTTACTGCACTATATTTATTTTGCAGATTTAGATTATTAATACGAGATATAATCAACCAATTAATTATAAAACTTTATTGATCCGATGGTGAAAAAAGTGTGTGTGTGTGTGTGTGAGAGAGAGAGAGACCCACCTTTCACATCTTCATCCTCAATAGTGGTGTTGCTGCTGTCAGATGATCCCTGCAGAGTGCACAGACAGAAATGTTAATTACAAAATAATTAAAACATGCATTCACCCACAAGCACACACAAATGCATGCACACACACACACACACGTTTCTCTACAACACGACTCTTCAACACCACGTTTTTTGTTTTTTTTGCCAGCACAGATACAGCTGTATGTGTGACTCAGCAACTCAGTAAAAACACGAGCACGTGACGTTTCAGCCGCTGTCACATGTAGTCTGAACGGTGGGATTATGACGGTTTTTAATCTGCTGACATGCACAGATTCCCTTCAGCCGGCAGCAGGAAGCACTGAGCTCCATTAATCTGAACACAGAGGGGCAGTATAAGACAAGACAACACACCTCACAGCACTCTCATGCACTAACACACAAAGTAACGAAGAAGATAGTACACAAATCCTGCTTCTTCCAAATACAGCTTTACCGCACACAGATAAAAAAGAAGTGAAGACGAAGGGTGAGAAAAGAAGAAAAACAGGACGAGGAAGTGAGGAGGAGGAGGAGGATGTACCTTGGTCCCATCTAGTGGATTATGGATGACAGTAGTCTGAGGCTCCTGGAGGAAGAATGGAGAGAAAATGTAGAAAAAGGAAGCAATAGAGAGAGAATGTTTTCTGTCACAGTGAGGGATCAATAGAGAGTAAAACATGGAGGATGGAGGACGCAGCAATGCAATAGTCTCTCTCTCACATCATTTCTGTCCCATTTTATACATAAAAAAATCAATAACAATCACATACATGACACTACATATACGTAGTGTACGCAGTTATTTAAGGATCAGTCCGTTTTATTTCTTACTGTCAATAATTCCCATAAAATGGTAATAAATACTCACTAGAGTACAGAAATATAACATTCATTTTTTTCTAATTAAAGCTTGAAGGCACTTGCAAATGATGTTTTATTATATAACACCAGCAATGAGGAAGATCGTGGGTTGATAATAAATATGAAATCTAATTTAAATCATATCCTCTAAACTAAAAAGAAATCTGGTTCGACTTGAAATCAAACACTATATTTACGTTTACAGGATATTTAGTCAACGCTGATCTCTGAGCCACAGATGCGGATTAAACCGCCGCTGAAAATAGTCCCCAACAAATAAACTATTTCTTCTTGTTTGTCTGAGCAGCTGTTTAAGGGAATTACTAAGACGTTATGTATATTTGTGTTTTTAAAGATTGACGTCTTCAGTAGGAACCAACACAGGAAGTCAGACCGTATTGAGGGACGGACTAACGCGTTGTTGGTTTGAGTCTTTTCATGGGATTTGTTGACAGAAGAACATAAAAAGCTTCAACTACAATATACAAATCATATAGAACAAACTCACATTATGTAAATGTGAAACCTGTGAAATCTGTTAGAAAGTCGCTGTAATCATGAAAATAAAACACAAAGCCAACAAACGCTACACTGTGAAATATATATATATGTGTTTTAATACATTCTAAACATCTCAGTCTCTCTTTGCTGTTGTTGTGTATTTCTAAATCTTAGAGGAACAGTTTTAGAGTCTTGCAGAGAGGAGAAGATGGATTCCACTCTCATGTTTTTACATTAAATATGATGCTACAGCCAGGAGTTTGTTAGCTTAGCATAAAGACTGGGAACAAGGGGGAAACAGCTAGCTAGTCCTGGTCCTGGTTCTCCCGTGCCTCCATTCCCTCCAGCAGGTCTAGCAATACGTCCTGGATCTCCAGCAGCGTGGTGTCGGCTCTCAGAGAGGAGAAGCTCTGCTCCTGGAGGAGGAGGAGGAGGAGGAGGAGGAGGAGGCGCTGCTGCTGCTGCTGCCGGGAGCTGAGCTCTCCTCCTCCCTCCGGAGCTCCGGATCTGGGTCTGTCCACGGTGGACCGGTCTCTGCTGGAGGATCTGGGTCTGTCCACGGTGGACCGGTCTCCGCATGAGTTCATCTGGTTTCACCAGAATCCGACCCGGTGGCTCCGATGACGAGCATTAAGAATAACTCTATAGAAACAGACCATCTTCTCTCTGATGGTCTCTGTACTGATGGAGGTCTGATAGAGGATCAGGACTACACTGAGACTGGTTCAGGACCAGATAAAAGTTCCTCAAAGTCACTTTAAAGTACTTATTAAAGTACTTATAGTAAATGTCTCCTGGCTCTAGCTCCACACTCAGTTTACAGAGATGAGAGGTCTGGATCTTTTCATTTCACTCTTGGCAAAAAAGCATGAAAAAAAACACATTTCCCAAATTGTAAAACTATTACTTAAAGAGCTGCGAACTTTGAATTAATACCACTTTGATCCAAAGTGCACACACACCTCTCTCTCTCTCACACACACACACACACCTACACACTCTGCGTTTAGTGAGTGTATCTGGCGGACAGACGGACAGACGCACACAGAGCTGCGTACCAGTGCAGCAGAGGTGGTGTGGCCTTTGGGGCTGGTGACTATGCTGTTTCTCGTGCTGTTTGTCTGGGGCTGTGCAGGAAAACACAAAGTGCTACATTAGTGCTCAGCAACAACGGTGAGAGGGGCCATCTGCTGGTTGTAAAGCGGGCGGTTACTGCGTTAAAAAATAAAATAACCATTAGTGTAATACAGGTAAAGATAGCAGATAGAAGCAGAAGAGTGCTCCAGAGAACGGAGTGCACTCAGAAAGCAGACACGCTGTCGACAATAAATCAAAAAGGTTTCCCCACATTCCTCACTACAGTGTTAATTAGATAAAAAGGTTTTATACAATTCATCATTTCCATCTGCAGTGACATCCGAATCAAATCCTCGACAGAGCTCCGATAGTTCAGCCCGGCCGCTCTTTCCCTGAATCTGGACGCTATTTGGCAGATGGCAACATTTAAACCAATGACAACTCTGCAACATCTGTCAGATACAGAAAGAGAAAACATCCATTTTGTCAAACTGAAGCGTGAGCATCTCGTAATGTGTTCCCTCCCCGGGTGAACAGCATTCAGGCGCTTATGAAACAGCCCGTTCACATGAAGACAGCCAACAACATGCTGGATATACAGACAGCCTGTTTTATAAGGACTCACATCACTGCTCTTCTTGCTTTATGACAGCACACACACACACACACACACACACACACACAACGAAGAGACTTCACGCTGGAAAACCAATTAAGTGTATTTTTCTGCTCGTTATTTTCCTCTGCAGGGTTCGTCTGTGATTGTGTCGGACAAAAAGAGAAAGAAACTAAGTTCTGGCCGTTATAAGGTGAAGATGGAAACGTGTGGGAGAGAGAGAAGGCTTCAGAGATGATGTGAGAACATTTAATAAGAAGATTCTCATGTAACAACTCGTTGGCAATATATTTAAGTTTTTCTGTGTCTGTTAATCGGATCTTCGAGGGACAGAAGGTCATCAAACCGACGTCCGATTGGACGAAACACCTCTGAAGTGACGTCAACAATGATGACAAATGTGCCCACTACAGATATGAAAACTATTAAGCTATTTAAAGGGCCGCTCAGATTCTAAATGCAGTCGATCACTTCAGAAACTAACATTCACCTTGATCACATTAAACAGACATCTCATGCTAGAGAACGAGCTAGCCGTCTTGATCGCGTCCCGCGTGAAACCAAAAGACGAGAGTTGACTTATTGTAATTGACGTCCGTAATTTAAACGTCGCAAACGTACTTATTTTATTATATTTATTCTCAAGTTTTGTTGCTTGAATATAACCAAGTGGTTCTGTTGCATTTTTATTTTTTATTTTTCAATTTACAACCTTAATCACGTGTTTAAAATAGCAACCGTAATCCGGAAGAAAACACGTTCCCCTTGATTGAGAATGCAGTTTAGTTCTATGGGAACATGTTTTTATGAGACAGGATGCTAAACCTTGATGGATACAAGGCTGCAGTCCAACATGATAAATAAACCACAACAAGCTGCACCAAGTAAAAACTAAAAACTAATCTACAGGTGTGTAAAGAGCAGGTTGAGGCACCACTTTGGTCCAGACTGGAATGTGTGGTATTTCATTGAAATGTCTCAACAGCTATAAGATGGACCACCCTGAGATCAAAGCACTACAAAGCAGTTTGAGGCACTTTTCAGTTCCAGGAGGAAGGTGATTTATATTCCTGTTAATAAATTATCTTTGTCACAGGAGCACAAAAGACGAAAGTACATTTGTGACAGTTTGACGAGAACGAGCGCTGTGGGAGTGAATAATGATGTTTAATTTCACAGGAAACGGGGGCAAGTGGTTTTGCACATCAATTACATCTTCTCTCATCTGAGGAGCAGATCCACTGATGTTCTGAGTCACCGTCTGATTCACCAAACACCAGATCTAAAAACAACGGTGTTTGGTCAATTTGGCTTCAAACAAGTGGAACACACCGTGCAGCTGAAGGACTGAACGTCTTGTGATGGTTGTGAAGGACTGAGTTCACTACGTGTACGTTTTTGGTTGCAACAGAAAAACAACATTAACATATTAACTTCTCATTTAAGTTATTTTGATTTTGATGTATTTTTTGCGCAGATGTTGGCAACGCTGTGTGAGGAGATGCGCGCCAAACTTTTGTGAATAAACATGATTAAGCTGATGGATTCTATTCAGTGTGCTCGCCACACTGAATAACGATGGCAGTAGCAGCCAAAACCCTTAAAGTGATACCAACAGATCGCTGCACTGCTGCCATAGGTAGCTCGTCTGATCATTAGCACTGGCTTCACTTTCAATTTGGTTGAGAAGTTAATGATTTTAGACATTTAAGTTACTTTTAAACCTTCGTTTTAACACATAATTTGCTTCACATTGAAATATAGTTATACTATCTTAAAAAAAATTGTTATATGCGACGTAGATGTTTAAAAAACGTTCACTTTGCAACTTAATTTAGCAACCTAGATGTCTTTTAACCTCAAACTCACTAAATCAGTACTTCCTGCTTAGGTC